CTGAGAGGGGCCGGCCTAGAAGCCACTTCCGCGGTGGGTGGGGCGCGGCTGGCGCAGGCGAAAGGCGTCTGTGCATTTTGCTGCGCAGCGAAGGCGGAAGTGCGGAGCCGAGGCTTTTCCAGGTGTTGGGGTTGCGGCGCACCTGCGAGAGCGAGATGGAGGTGGGCGCGGCGGCAGTAGATGGCCCGGACGGCCCTCGGGAGCGGCGAGGCTTGTGCGAGACTGGGAGGCAGCTGCAGAACCACGATGTGCGGCCTCGGTCTGGAGCAAACGGGCTTCCAAGACATTCCTACTGGCTGGATGTCTGGCTCTTTATCCTTTTCGACGTGGTGTTGTTTTTGTTCGTGTATCTTTTGCCATGGTGAGTGTCCCGCAGGCACAGTGTAAGTGGCAAGGAGCTTAGAGACCATTTACTCCATTTGGTGGGCGGGAAGGGGGAGGAAACTGAATTCTAGACTTTATATGTGTCCAAGATCACACATCACTCCATGGTTAGTGGTGGAGTCGGGTGGGTGGAAGAGTGGGGAGGACTAGAGTGAACATGTTCTTACTTGGCACCTCAGTGGGAGTCTGCGAAGAAGTGTGGAGGAAACTTGGCTTCATACGTTTTTTCTTTGTTTTGGAATGAAACCAGATAGGTTTGCGTTCCTTCACCACCACGAAGGAACTAGCGAAGTCGTGTAGCTTCTTGGAGCTTTATTTTCTCATCTACCATTTGGGACCCATAGTAACCAGGTCAATAGGGGTGTAGTGAAGAAGATTAAATGAGATGGTGATTTATCTAAAAGCGATTTGTATATTGCCCGGCAGTAGTTTGTGCTCAGCCAAAACTGCTTGACCATGAGCAGGCCACGCAAGTATCTCAAACTTAACATGTTCAAAACATAAATCTTCATTTCTTACCCAAACGTAGTTATCTTTCATTGTTCCCATTTCAGTAAATGACAACTTTATCCACCCAGTTACTCCTCCCAGAAACCTGGGACTCTGACTTCGCCCACACATCCCAAAACACCAACCGATAAATCACAAAATCCTGAAGATGAAGAGTCCGCTTGCAAAATCCATGATGTCCATTTTCTTGTCACTCACTCTGAAAAGACGGTTCTGGGAGGGGATAAAGGAAAGGAGAGGAGGAAGCAGAACAAGAAGAAGGACACAGGACCCAGATGATAATAAGGGACAAGTTCAAGAGAGAAGTAGTGAAATGAAGGAAGGGGGACTATGGAAGAAAAGCATTGCAGCCTGTTTAGATATTAAACACCTCTCCTGGACTTTGGAGTTGATTGTTCACTCATTGTAAGTTAAATCCTCTTCATCGTGCTTAAGAGGTTTTACTTCAGAAATTTGCCCTTCTTGATAGGCAATTATTGTCTTCTTTCTTCTTTCCATCCCTGAATTTTGGCTAAGATTTGGGTATCTTCTGCCTCATTGTCTCCGATTTCTTTGATGGTGTGGCAAATTAGAAGGCAGAGGATCGAAAGGGAAGAATGGTGAAAGGGATTGGTATTTCTGTAAAATCAAACCATTTGTAACGGGAGAATTTCCATTCTTCCCCCTCAGGTTTCAGAGACTAATAACCTCAAATACAGTGATTTTTTTTTTTTTTTTTTTTTTTTTTTTAATGGCCTGTTGAATTTTCAGCTCTGGGTAGAAAATGGAAGCCTTACAAGAAGTAGTCCGGGTCGTTTTTGGCTCTTATTAACATGTTAATCATTTACGAATAGGCAAGTGACTAAGACAAACTTTTCAGAAGTTGGCATAAAGTGTTAAAATGGGATGATAAAGGAAACATTGCTGACAAAGATTTGTTTTTTACAGACTGGTTTGCTGATATCTAAATTAAGAAGTTGGCTTCTGGAGTGAATTCTGGAAATGACTTACAAACTTCTTGAATAAGGAAGACAGACAGGATTGTGCAGCTGAAGAACTTCAAACCTCTAAGGGATCTTCCTTTCATTTTACACATTCTGTTACTCACTTGGAGAATACTATTAAATGGGTAGTGATCTCGCCCATTCACAGCTAAGTTCTTAAAACTAGACCCTTTGGTTCACGTTTAAAAACTTTTGAAACATCTATGGCTTTACAGAGGCTAAATATAAAAGTATTTGTATCTAAAGATTTTGTGTATTCATTAAGAAATATAGCAATGTCTTTCCTTTAACATTTTAAGGGTTGATCAAGATTTGGTATGATGCAAATAATATGGTAAATAATGTGAGGTATTTATAAATTCAAAAGTAGATTACTCAAAAGCAAGGGAAGGATTTTGAGAGAAGGAACAAAGTGTTCTTAGATTGCATCAATGCTACAAACAAACACAAAAGCTATACTGAAAATGTCCTGCAGTGTACTGGCTGTAAATACCAGTTTAATTTTTAGATTAAGTGGGACTCTTATGAAAAAATATGTCATGCTTGATAGGTTGATACAGTCTTACAGAAAGTAGGTAATATCCAATATTAGAAAGTTAGTATGCATGTCGTCTTACCTGGTTGCCTCCCTTTCTTTTAAACTCTTGAGCTCCGTAAAATAGGATTTTGTGGTTCAGACCTATTTTTTAATCCTGTGGCCAAAACGTATTTATTCTTACCATATCTGTAACTTACTTAAATAGTTCAACAAAGTCAGTACTCATTCAACAGATATTTGAGCCCTCACTATCAGCCAGGTGTGAGTTTAGATACAGCATTGTACAAAACACAAAAATTCTTGCCTTCATGAAGTTTACTTTCTCATTTGTTGTTTTTAAAATCTGAATATGTTATTTAATAGAAATTTACATTCTAGGGGTGATCAGCTGGCATCTAATCAGAAAGGCTCCACTCCCAAAGCAGCTACTATATAACCACTTCAGAAGCCATTCCTTTTAGCCCTAAACACTTTATGTAAGGGATTTTAGAAATCGGATCTTATTCTTGAAATTAGCAACATATTCTACATGAGGGGTCTTCAAAAAGTTCGTGGAACAACTCTATCTTTTAATTCTATTTTTCCATGAACTTTTTGAAGTACCTCATATATGTGATCTGTCTAAAGTATTTTGGAGATATTCCACTCCCTTGGAAACTGGGCATACGATATTGTAAATTCTATATACCCTTTGCCTTTCAGCTTTGCTTAGGGTTACAGTCAAGTCTGGAATTGATTTTGGAGGATTTTAAGTGCCTAATACCATCTATGAGTTAACGATTATGCTTTCAGGGTATTGTTGCATCTGCCTAAAGAGAGCCTTTTACAGAATGTGGGGTTGAAGCATATTAGAGGAATACAGAACTGGGATTTCATTGAATTTACCAAATAGATTGTATGAACTATTTTTGTGCTGCTTGCTAATAATTTTGTCTAATAAAGTTTACTTATAGTTGAGTTTGGTGTTGTTGTAACAAGTTACCTGGTGGTGAGGTTGTAAGGGGATTACAGTTCTATAGCTTGCTGTTAGGTCACACACACAGACTTCTAATCCATACTACCTTTCTGAGCCTAAAACTGGCCTACTACCACAACTATAAAATATTCTAAAAGTTTCTAGTATTTTCTAGTGAAGATGAGAGATCTTAGTGTGATAGTTAACTTTATATGTCAATTTGACTGGGCTAAGGGATGCCTAGATAGCTGGTAAAACATTATTTCTGGATATTTCTGGAAGAGATTTGCATTTGAATCAGAAGACCAAATAAGAACTGCCCTTCTCAATGTGGGTGGGCATCATCCAGTCCTTTCATGGAATAAAAAAGCAGGAAGGGCGAGTTCTCTCCCTGCTTCAGCTGGGACATCCATCTTCTGCCCTCAGACATAGGCACTCCTGGTTCCCAGGCCTTTGGGTTTAGACTGGAACTATACCATCAGCTTTCCTGGGCCTCCAGCTTGCAGATGGCAGATTGCTTCTCAACCTCCGTAATTATGTGAGCCAATCCCTCATAATAAATTTTTTTCTATATAAACATCCTGTTTCTTTGGAGAACCCTGACTAATACAGTTGGTATTAGTATAATGTATGACATGACTGTAAATGCTACACAAAAATGAGGGTTGAAGACTGAAGCTTTCATACAGGTGATCAGTAAGAAATTGTACCTACTACTGAACTGTGCCATTTCAAGTGTAGTGACTACTTACAGTGCTCACACTTTGAAGGCTTTTAAGAGTGGATAAATGAGACACCAAGAAAAGTTACAAACTAACTATGATAAAAACAAAGACATCAAAAGAATAACATCAATGTGATTTTAATCTGGTAAATTCCTTTGTAAATTTCACACAATTTCATATAAGTGAAAGGATTCTTAATAGTCCCATTTGAAATGAATTAGCTAATTAACAGCTGTGAAGAACAGTGTTTAGGGGTCTGTTAACCTGAGAATTTTAGGATGTAAAGAGCTCCAAATACCCAGTCCCCAAATGACATGGGAATACATTTTGAGATTCAGGATATTTAGGGTTAATGTGGGCATTTAATGTAAATTATGCTCTAGGACAAGGTCATCAAACTAGGGCCAATGCCAAATCTGGCTTGATACCAGTTTTTACAAGGAAGGCCTGTGAGCTACAAACAGTTTTTAAGTTTTAATAGGACTGAACAAAATCAAAAGGCTTTTATGACACGTGAAAATTATATGCAATCTGGATTTCAATGTCAAAGTTTTACTGGAAAGCAGCCATGCCCGTTCATTTACATATTTTTATGGCTGCTTTTACACTACAAAGGCAGAGTAGCTGTTACAGAGACCTTATCGTCCACAAAGCCTAAATTATTTACTCTCTGGCTTCTTATAGAAAGTTTGCCAACTTTTCTAGGAGCTGTACTTCGTAGACCATGTTGGAGTTTAACTCTTAGAAACCTCCCTGTGATAACATTTTATGAGCAGTAAAATTTCTCATAGTCTTGAACTTCAAATTGATGTACATCTCCCATAAAATACATAATCCATGTGGGAAGAGGGGAACACGTAGTTCATGAATGCAAAGAAAAGTCCACCCATATTAACTTAAAAAATCACTTTATCTTAAATTTTTTTGAACCAGGAGAAACTGATTTCACATGAAAATATAACATTCTGAAGATAAGTATTTTAAACATTCTTAACAGTTGGTTGCATTATTTTAAAAGTTATAATAAGCTTATAACCAGATGAAAACATCTATAAAAATAAATAGGCACCCTAGAAGTAAAAATTTTACATGTGAATGATTAGTTAGCAAATATGTATTTAATCTGTATTTGGAGTGTTGAATCAACATAAAAGCAAACGGACAGTTTCTAGTTTGGTTAGTACTACATTACATGATTCAGGAAGTTTCAACTGGACAGTACTTTAAAAGGTGCAAAATTGGACACTTATCTGTTTGCAACTCAATTGTGAGTTGAAAAGACAATTTTATAAAACTGCTGTTAAATGCAGAAATTGGTTTAAATGTTTCAAATAATACATTTCAAACTGAATGTACTGACCAAATAGAAATTTAAAAACCTACACAGATTTTGAAAGCTATTAAAAATACTTGAAGCCCATTTTTCTAGTATTTTACAGTGTTATAAAAGCAGTAATTAAAAACATTGACATTTCAAATACAATTTTACAAACATTACATTATTTACAAACCCTCCATACTAAAAATTGTTAAAAATAAGTTTTCTTAAAAGTAAAATTTAATTTAGTTGGTATTCAAGTATTTCTAAATTAAGATAATATAAAGTAATAATCACCTACTACTGTACTATAGTTTTAAAAGGCTAGTAAAAACTTCTCTACAGGTGGAAGATTGGCCAAGATTTGATAACTTGGTGAGGTTACACTTTTACAAGCAATTATTTTCTATTTATCTAAAAGTATTCATTTTTAATCATTTACATTTTAGAATATTTTAATGCAATTTATGGAATCAGTCAAGATACTAAATTAACTAATTAGTTTACTTTTTATATTTATGAAGTTTATCCATTTAGGAATGTAAAAAAATCTTTAATTCTGTGATTCTCAATTCTTTGGAGTGGACATTATAAAACTATTCTAAACCACAATTAGTTTACCAGCTTAGTAGAAAATAAAATGACAACTAATGAAATAAGGCAATTAAAGTAACTTATTTTCACTTGTAAGGTCACCATAGTAATGGGAATTCCTTTCATTTTTAAACAAAGCCCTCTCCATGAAAGTATTTGGGATAAAATTATTATTTGCTTAGAGAAGGAAAAAAGGGATGGATGCTCAAATTAATTAAATATGTAATTAAAATTATACCCTCAGGGCCGGCCCCGTGGCTCACTCGGGAGAGTGCGGTGCTGACAACACCAAGGCCACGGGTTCGGATCCTATATAGGGATGGCCGGTTTGCTCACTGGGTGAGCGTGGTGCTGACAACACCAAGTCAAGGGTTAAGATCCCCTTAACGGTCATCTTTAAAAAAAAAAAAAAATTATACCCTCTATATGAAAAACAGAAATTTAATCTGGAAACCTAGGCAGATTTACAGATTCAAGAATCAAAATCAGTAAAATGGGTTGACAATCTATAAGCAGTTAAAATTATAGCAGAGAAAATTTAGGCAGTTACAGTGACATTCCCAATAAGAGGTCCCTACGTTAATTTCTAACACTGATTATTAGCCCAAAATAAACCAAACCAAAATAAAAACTTTTACATTTCATATAAAATTAGAAAAAAATGTAACAAGATAAATAAATATACTAAAGTTTAAGTATTTTAACTTTTTAGCTCACAGGGTTGAAGAAGCATTTATGAATACATTTATTAGTCAAAGGCCTAATTTATGTTAAAAAGACATTCTGAAAATAAAATGTTCTAGAAGCAAAATTAAGTTCCATTTCACCTTGAAAATTTAATTTTAACGTTGTTAATCATTAAGGCATTTTTTTTCCAAATGCTATCAAATTCATGGGTCAATTGTTTTTAAAGACACTTAAAAGGATCATACATAGCAGACTATCACAGAAGTCAAAAACAAATGGGTGAAGCCCTCCTTTGGTTACCCATTAGAAAGTGCTTCCTCATAAAACAAATACTGCTTTGACTAGACAACCATGCATCACCTGGTATTTTTCAATTAGCATAGTTGACTAATCTACATACGTGAGTACTAGTTAAATACTTATGGGTCTATTAGCCAAATAATAAAGGGGCAAATTTATTTTTTATTCAACTGTAGCATATGGCAAATATACCCCCTAATTTTCTATTTTTCAGTGCATGCCAAGACTATTCAAAGGGAATTTCTAAATTATTTAGCCAAATAATAAAGGGGCAAATTTATTTTTTATTCAACTGTAGCATATGGCAAATATACCCCCTAATTTTCTATTTTTCAGTGCATGCCAAGACTATTCAAAGGGAATTTCTAAATTATCCAATAAATTGATCATAACATTTTTTTATGTGTGTATATATATATATATATATATATATATATGTGATTAATAACTTTAAAAATACCATGGGTTTTAATTTTATATATCACTAGGTTTGGTCAGTAGGTTCCTATAATATTTTTATGGCCTCTGAGAGGTATAAGCTTGCCGATTTCATCATTTATCTATTACAATGTATGCTAGGTTTATATCTTTGCTCAGAAGGGCAACTTGAACCAAGACTATTATGTAACACAGGCCCTAACACTCTTTCACTCTGAGATAGTGAATTATCATTACAAAAGCCACTGTTCTCTGGAAAACACAGCTTGGGCCTCTGATGGTATTTCAATCTATATGTATCAGTCATGCAGCTATCAACTGAAAAATAGGTAGTTAGTGAAATTGTCTCACTTGGACATGCAGAAATAGAGTCTAGTTCTGGTTGGCAAAATGCATCAATAACTGCACCTGAGTTTGCCTGAAAACCATTAGTTGAAGAGCTAAACGAGTAGTTTGGTATCTTGCCAACATGCTCATCTGCTTGAAATGTTTCTTTATGTGGTTCATCATTCATATATGTACTCACTCCTAAACTTGGTTCTAAACTGTGCTTTGGAAGAATAGAAGAGTTAGCTTTAAGTTTGACATCAGGTGGAGATTCATTTTTCTTTGACTGTGGCACACTGGTTATAGCATATTTCTTTGGTGGCAAAGGGGGTGGTGGATTCTGGCAAAAGAGTTTTGGCATCTGACAACCATCAGACCTGTAGGTTGACTGAACTGAATGTTCCCTAGATAGAGAATTCTCAGAATAACATTGTTCCATCATATTTTGCTGCTGGGTGAAGGGAGCACTTTCTAGCTTTAACCCAACAGTTCTCACTTGTGAAGACAACAATGAAGATGGTGAGACTATTTCATTACTGTTCACTCTCTTCCCAGAAGCAGAATTATCATCAGTGTGAAAAGGCAAACCTGTTCTCTCAGAATTTTCTATATTAAGCCACTCAGAACATTTGCATTCACTTGGTTTTCCAAGTTTCTGTTCATCTGACTGGTGGATATGTTCTCTTGCAGTATCATCCTTGAGTATTTGTGGGCTGGACGAAGGAAATAACTTTCCACTGGTTTCACATATATGGGACCTGGAATTTGAAAATAAAATCAGTGATAAAACACCATTTGCAAATATGCAAAACGGGGGAAAACAAACATTTGTCCTTTAGTTTGATTTTCCCAACATATGGTTTATATTATTTTTGCAACAAAACAGAAATGGGAAGATATTTGTAACCATTAACATTTTCATCTCTCTCCAAACCCAAAATCTTTATGCCAGAATACAAGAATGCTTACCAAAAACACCATCATTACCAAAATCATATCTTTAAAACTCATTTCAACTTACAAACACTGAAATTATATTTATTTGTGACAAAACACAGCACAGAACTTAAGGAAAATATTTACAAGCAAACAATTCAATACCCTAAAAGACTTCCCCACGAACATCCAAAAGTTTAAGGGCAATAGAGTTAGGGACACTTAAAATCTGATATACAGTGCTATAAGGATAGTAACAAGAGTACTTCAAAAAGTTTGTGGAAGAATTGGGCCGGCCCCATGGCTCACTCGGGAGAGTGCGGCACTGGTAGCGCCAAAGCCGCGGATTCAGATCCTATGTAAGGATGGCCAGTGTGCTCACTGGCTGAGCATGGTGCCGACAACACCGGGCCAAGGGTTGCGATCCCCTTACTGGTCCCAAAAAAAAAAGTTTGTGGAAAAATGAATTAAAAGTTAATACAAATCTTTCCATGAACTTTTTGAAGACCTCCTTAAACTAATTTAAAATAATTTAGTCAGTCAAGATTACCTTTAATTAGGTACTAACTAATTTCTAAGGTAAAGATAAATGATATCTCATTGCCAGTTATTTTTCTTATATCAACAACATGGAGTTGAGTTAGAGGAGAATGGTTAAAAAGAGTTGAGGTTTTGCTAGGTAGATAGAGCAATAATAAAATCTCAATTCCATTGCTTTGGGCACATTACCTAATCTAAACCTCAAATTTTCTCTTTTGTAAAATACCATCTACCTCATAAGAATGCTGTGAGGATTAAAACAGACAATCAAGTATTGCACCTGGTACTTTGTAGGCCCTCTATCTTCAGGTCCTCATCCTATTAATGATTCCCAGTAAGACAGGTATCATAATATGGTGAACCTATTGCTTTCAGAGTAGTAATATGTATTTATACCTTTCTGATAAGTATTATAGTAAGAGTTACTATAATACATGTATTTAGGAAAAAAGTTTTAATATTTCCAAATATCTATGATTACCTTCTTATCAAATGATTTTTTATTTGTAGATGTGATTCTGGGTAGAACTCATGAGATTTATATCCTGCTTCCAAGTTAAAGCCTGGGGTGGGGAATGGGGAGGAGAGAGAAGGAAAACAAAATTATTTAAATAATCTTATAGAATTTATTCCATTTATACTCCTCTATAGTTACATAAAGTTTTCTATAAACAGGTAATTCTCTTCCAATTAAAAAACAAACAAAAAAATTAATTCTTCAAGAATCAACTCAAAATAACACCACTTTATCAAACCGTTTATGCAAAATTAATGGTTCTTTCTTCAGTTTATTATCATTTGAGGCTGTCAGAAATGCCAGAATAGTGCTATTCCTGCTGGGTCATGTGGAACCATGCCTGTGCTTCCCCTGTTATATGAGAACTGATCTTTACAGACAAAATGCTATGAAAAAAAATCCTGCATTTGAAAATACCTGGCTTAGGTTGAAGTTTGGATTCACTACTTACAGGTTAGAACCTTTTTTTTCTTTCTTTTGCTGGCTGATACAGGGATTGAACCCCAGACCTTGGTGTTATCGGCATCACCCTCTAACCGACTGAGCTAACCAGCCAGCTTTGGGTGGGTAACTTTAGGCAAGCCTCTTCCCCCTTACAATCTCAGTTTCTTCATTTATCTAATGAGATAATGGTAATCCATTTTACCTACCTCATAGGAATATTAAGAAGATCAACTGAATTAAAACAGGTGGGAGAGTAGTATGACAGCACATGAAATATTATACCACTACTAATTAGCTACCATTTATTCACTGCTTACTCAAGTTGTAAGAAGTTGATACTATTTCATTTACTCTTTACAAGCTTATGAAGAAATTACTATCATCTCCATTTTACAGATGAGGAAACAGAGGCTTAGAAAGGTTAAGTAACTTACCCAAGGGTAAGCAAGGGTACTTCAAAAAAGTTCATAGAAAAATAGAAAGAAAAGATAATACAAACCTTTCCATGAACTTTTGGAAGACCCCTCATATACAAAGCTAACAAATGCAGAACTAGATCTGTATGATTCAAAAGTCCATGCTCTTAACCACTGTGCCATATTTCCCCCTTATAATTGTTAACTTATCACCAGTTCTGACATATAATAGGCACCAAATAGTTTTTTAATTTAATTTTAATGAAGTCTAATGATAACTTACAATGTGACTTCTTTTACTTCCAAGCCTGGGACATTGTAAGATTTCAGATTCAAATTAATCATCTCTGCCTCCCCCAACCTTCGTTTTTTAACTACACCTACCTAGGATTAGGGCCTAAAGTCCAATATGGTGCCACATAAAAAACAGTGGATCTACTTCTATTTCCCTCTAACATGATTCAGGTAGAATTCACTGAAGGTCTTTTAACAATATTAACGTTCAGAGTAAAACATTATCTACATTTGGGTCTCTCTCTACAAAGTATTACTTTAGAATAGCTCTAATAAAAACAACTACTGCCCTCTAATCTTTAATACATGTAAATGAAATTAATTTCCTGACTATAGATACAGTAGGCCCAACCAAATTAACAAAACTCTTAAAGCTTATTTTATAGGGAAAAGATGAAGAAAAAAGAACAAAGACATTTGGATTTATATATGAGTTTACCTAAGACCATCCCAGTTTTTCATACCCCCTTATGGGAGAGGAGGTTCTTTGCATCTGAGAACCTGAAGGTCTACCAGTAGCTATTTCCTTTGCTGATAAACATGAGGGACCTAAAGCTCCAGTATACTGACAGAAAAATCACAAGCACCCAGGTACAGACAAAGCACAGACACATCTTTGGAGTTCAGTAAATTACTCTGTGAGCACATCACCCACTTATCTTAGAAATGAAAACTAGAAAATAGTATAGAGTTATTTTAGTCATGTATCCCCACAATAATAATAGCTACAATTTTCAGAATGTCCAGTATGTACTGAGTCTTATTTTAACTGAGCAGTTCTCAAAGTGTGGCCACAGACTCCTGGAGGTCCCCAAGACCCTTTCAGAGGGTCTATGAAGTCAAACTATTTTCATAATGATACTAAGATGTTATTTGTCTTTTTGACTCTGTTAACATTTACACTGATGGTGCAAAAACAAGGATGGATAAAACTGCTAGCATAAATCAAGTCAGTGATACCCAAACTGTTCTAGTAGTAACTGTATTCTTCACACACTTGGGGTTGAAAAAAGAAAAAAGCCAGTTTCATTTAGGAATGCTTGATGAAGCAGTAAATTGTTTAGTAATTACACATCTTTTTATTAATCTGTGTGAGAAAATGGGAAGTATGCATAAAGCACTTTTGCTGCATGTACAAGTATAAGGGTGGTTTCACGAAAAAACACTTTATAGGGTTGAGTTGTTAGCTGAATTCAGCTGGTTTTATCACAGAACACCATTTTTACCTGAAAAGACAACAAACAAACTTTGGACATTCAGACTTGGGTATTGGCAAAAATTTTCTTGTAAAGGAAATGTGACCCTGTCAGTTCAAAGAAAACAACTGGCAATATTTATTGCCCATAATAAAAACCAAGCTTTTAGATGAAAGTAAGAATTTTGGAAAATTTGTTTCTACCACCATGAGTTTTGCAACTTCCCTTTACTTACAATGACTTTCTGCTAATATTTGTGGTGATATTAACAAACATGTTTTAAGAAAGATATTACATAATGAAACTATCAACATTTGGAAAACTTGCAAAACTTGTGTAACTTGCAAACCACATAGGGATGATACAAAATGAAGCATGGATAAAACATCGTTGGAAATACAAAACAGACAAATATATTTTAATGTAATGTAGTATGAAAAGTTAACTACTATGGTTTCAGATTTCACAGTGGTAATCTTGAAGAAACTACCACTTGGTGTTGGTGCAGTATTAAAGATTATCTGCAAGTTCTAAGAGAGGCTATTAAAATATTCCTTTTTCCAACTATATATCTCTGTGAGGCTGAATGTTCATACATGAAAGCAACATTATCACAACAGTCTGAATGCAAAAACAGATATAGAATTCAGCTGTCTTCCATCACACCAGGTATTACAGAGATTTGAAAAGTATAAAATAATGCCATTCATCTCACTAATTTTGTTTTGAAAAATAGACGATTTTTATTAAAAATGTTATTTATGGGGGCCGGCCCGGTGGCACACTCAGTAGAGTGTGGCGCTTGGGAGTGTGGCGGCGCTCCCGCCGAGGGTTCGGATCCCATATAGAGACCAGTCTGCTCACTGGTTGAGCACGGTGCGGGAGCGACACCGAGGGTTGCGATCCCGTTACCGGTCACGAAAAAAGACAAAAAGGAAAAAAAAAATGTTATTTATGTTAGCATGTAATGGATTTATTATTCTTTAAATGAATAAATAAATTCAAAGTTTTCAGTTTTAATGCCTAAAACAGCAAACATTAATAGATACAACCTATAGGAACAAAACCTCTTTGAGGCCATCAATCCTTTTTTAAGAGTATAATGACACCCTGAGGACAAAAAGTTTTAAAATTGCTGTTCTAGTTGACAACAATAGTTGTCTTTTTAAAACCTCAGTCACAACTATTCTGTGAAACAATTCCTCTTTTTATATTTGAGGAAACTGAAGCTCAGGGAAGTTAAGTGACCTAACCAATACTATATAGCTGATAAATGGCTACTTCCAAGTTGCTACATTCAAGTCAATTCAGGGTTAACTCCAAAATTAGTGCTCTTGCTACTATGTGCAAGCTCTCTTTCACATATGCCATTAATATACAAAGTCATTATACTAAATCTCCTTCTGATGAAGCTAGGCTATTAGTTTGAACACCAAAAACATGATATGCTTAAACATGCTAATGTCCACAGAAGATACCAAAATATATGGCATTAACTTGAATTGTAGATTAATTGCCTACACTTCTGTATATTTCTAGTAAGTTTTTCTGCATTTTCCAGTATTTTCAGTTGACCTTTTCATCATGTTCACTTATCCGTTTCCTTTCATTCTCCAGCTTCTAATATACTATACAACAAATCTATGAATTGAAGACTATGAAGAAAATGAAAGAAAACAAAATCAAATTTATTAAAGCAGTGACTTCATTTTTTAAACAATAACAGAGAACTTTATCATAGATGCCTTTTTAATCCCTAAATTGATCTTGTGGGTGCATTTTTTAAAACTACCCTATCACTCAAAATTCAACTGGAATCTACAATTGATCAAAGTATGTAAATATTTCCCCCCTCTGAAAAAAAAAAATCTATATTTGATTATGACCAGGCTCTGCAAGTTAAATCTTGGAAGCAATTTCCAAGAAGAAGTCATGTAATATGCATGAGAATTTAAGACATATTGCTCACTTAGTAAATAATAAAAACTTAAGATAGTAGAATGAGAGGAACTACAAGTCTGGCATTCATTTGTTTAAGATTTATCAATCTTACTTTCACTAGATTGGCAGTAAGCTCTTTGATGGTATGATATGTGCCTTTTTAGTTATTGTTTTCCCAGATGCTAGCACAGTATCTAGCACACAGAGGACCTTCAAATGAAAGTCTGCAGAATGAATGAACAACTGCATGAAAAACATACTGGTTTTCTTCTTTTAAATTTCTCCCACCCTGCCCACCATGTTCCTAACTTGCTGATGCAGGACCAGATAAGTATGAATTGAGATAAATTCTTTTCTTTCCCCCACCTATCTCAAGTCTACAAGTGCCATACTAATAAAACCTTAAAGATAAAAGACAGTAAAATTTACCCTAGAGTCTCTCTAGAAGAAATATATTATTTTTCATGGCATCTATGATAAAGTTCTCTGTTATTGTTTAAGAAAGTAGTTGCTCGTAAGCCTGACACACTGCCTGAGACTCCAAAACTCTGCCACTCTCTTCAACAGCTATTTTATGATTTTTTTTTTAAAAAAGTAACAAGATGTCAAAAAGAACCTCAATAATTTTTCAATGTTTAAAGCTTGAAAAACTTCTAAGTTAAAATAACATTATAATTTTCCATCCACTGTGATTTTTAACTTCAGAATTTTTATTTTACTTCTTAGCTTATCTATAATTTCAAGTTTAATTTTCA